GGGGGGGGGGGGGGGGTGGAGAGAAGAAACAGCCCCGCGGCGTTGGATGGGGGTATACCTTTCAAATGCCCTGAATTTACTCGTCGAATCTCGTTGTTTGTGACACACACGCCGACTCGAAGGTCCATGGGGCGAAAATAGAGGTTACAGAGGGAGCTATAAAACTTTTATTCGGGAAACGGGGGTGTAAAAAGTTGTAATCAATTGTTTCTTGGATTTTTTTTCACGGGTTATAACATTGTTGTGGAATGTTGGTATGTTGCGAGTTTTATGAGAATGTAAAATGTGATGGGAGTTTTATTCTGTTGAGGCGGGTATGAAAAAATTTAATGGAAAGCCTAGCGAATTCGCTTGGAAATTCTAATGGAGTTCTAGGGGTTTCTGTAGGATTTTTAGTGGAATTCTATTGAATTGAGATATTTACTGTAGAATTCCTTCGACTCAAATTTTCCAAGTTCTTTTGATTGATTTTACTGATAAAAAGAAAGGGAAAATAGAATGAAAAAGAGAAATTCTATAGAAAATATTTCAATAGAATAAGTTATGTGGAAAAATCAAATTCTATTGACTTTTCCTGTAGAATATTTTTCATTGAACACTTCCATAGAATCGGTCAACAAGTACAAGAAAGTTCAATAGAAATCCGATAGAATTGTCTAGCGAATTCGCTTGAAAATTCTACCGGAATTCTAGGGGTTTCTGTTGGATTTCTGATGGAGTTCTATTGAAAAATTCTATTTGTTCTTTACGCTTGTGCATTGAGATATTTACTGTAGAATTTCTTCGGTTCAAATTTTCCAAGTTCTTTTGATTGATTTTACTGATAAAAAGAAAGGGAAAATAGAATGAAAAAGAGAAGTTCTATAGAAAATATTTCAATAGAATAAGTTGTATGGAAAAATCAAATTCTATTGACTTTTCCTGTAGAATATTTTTCATTGAACACTTCCATAGAATCGGCCAACAAGTACAAAAAGTTCAATAGAAATCCGATAAAATTGTCTAGCGAATTCGCTTGAAAATTCTACGGGAATTCTAGGGGTTTCTGTTGGATTTCTGGTGGAGTTCTATTGAAAAATTCTATTTGTTGTTTGCGCTGGTTTATTGAGATATTTACTGTAGAATTTCTTCGGCTCAAATTTTCCAAGTTCTTTTGATTGATTTTACTGGTAAAAAAAAGGAAGAATAGAATGAAAAAGAGAAAATTCTATAGAAAATATTTCAATAGAATAAGTTATGTGGAAAAATCAAATTCTATTGACTTTTCCTGTAGAATATTTTTCATTGAACACTTCCATAGAATCGGTCAATAAGTACAAGAAAGTTCAATAGAAATCCGATAGAATTGTCTAGCGAATTCGCTTGAAAATTCTACCGGAGTTCTAGGGGTTTCTGTTGGATTTCTGGTGGAGTTCTATTGAAAAATTCTATTTGTTGTTTGCGCTGGTTTATTGAGATATTTACTGTAGAATTTCTTCGGCTCAAATTTTCCAAGTTCTTTTGATTGATTTTACTGGTAAAAAAAAGGAAGAATAGAATGAAAAAGAGAAAATTCTATAGAAAATATTTCAATATAATAAGTTATGTGGAAAAATCAAATTCTATTGACTTTTCCTGTAGAATATTTTTCATTGAACACTTCCATAGAATCGGCCAACAAGTACAGAAAGTTCAATAGAAATCCGATAGAATTGTCTGGCGAATTCTATTGAAAAATTCTATTTGTTTTTTACGCCGATTTTATTGGATATTCCATAAGAAACAGTCAATAGATTAAGGTCGTTTTAAGGTCATGAGTCGCAAAATAAAGCTCGTTCTTTTTGGGTGTAGACACCAACAGTGAAAAACCAACGAGAAAATCAACGATACGCCCTTCCACACTCCATCACTCCTCCAAATGTCTATCACCCATACCCCCGTCCCTGTATTCGCAATTCCTTCTTTGATCAGCGATGCGCGAATTCCAGAGCGAGACAACTCGCCTCGTTTGCGTATATGCATCCTTCAGTAGTTACCCATACGAAACGTGACAAAGTACGTACACAACCCAGACTGCAATCTATACTTCGTAAATTAAAGCTCAGCCTTCGGCTGAATTAAAGATGACCCTTCCCTTTCATTTGCCTGGTAATAACAACTCTCATTGGCCCTTTTTCAAGCTCTCTTTCAAATTTAAATGAGAGGCTCTGCCGTCTCGGGGTCCTTGGCCCATTGAGATGATTATTCGGAGACCAATCCGAGACAAGAGGGAAATGGTGACCTAGGAGACCTCTGTTGACGCTTCCCGCGACTTTCTCTTGCAGTCATTCGTGGATGCGAGCTTTCGCAGATTTCTGCTTCATCGACTTCATTTTCTGGGGAATTTCTGGTGGTTTTGATTGGTTAATTCAATGGAGGGGTTCAGGATGAAATTGTTTGTAAGGGAAAACTGCAAAGCAAATTAATTTAGGAAGTTTAATTGCTAAAAACAATTATTTTATGCGGTTTTAGTGTTCAATTGTTTAATTGTTAATGATTTTTTTCTGTCTACTAAGTGAGATTAATTCACATGCGATTGGGTTAATACAGAAAATTGAGAATTTTTTTCGTTACCGAAATCGAAAATAATAGGATTAAAAAATCGGAGGAAAAACTGTTTTGAAGCATGAAGATTTGAAACGGCTGAAAACAAATTCTCTCAGAGAATGGAAGAAAGCTTTTCTCTGACAAAATTGAAGAGATATACTAAAAAACTGATTCTCTGAATTTTTTTTTATCGTTATTTTACATCGCTTTGACCCGGTTAGGGTATACTGCGATGATTCTCTGAAAATTGAAGGAATTTTCTGTCGAAAAATTTACAAAAATTGCCTGTTAGGTCTTTCAATTTTTTTTACATCGATAAATTGAATATTTCACTCATCGAAAATTCGAAAAGAAATTCTGTCGAAAGCTTTTCATCTTCAAAAATTATAAAAAATCTTTAGATACTGGGGGAATTGAATTCCCAAAAATGTAAACAACCGCCTTTTTGAAGTAGCAATTTTTCTCCGTTAAAAATCGAAAATTGTTTTCATTGAAAATTGAAAAAAAAACTATTTAAAATTTTTCATCCTCAGAGAGTGAAAAAAATCTCAAAAAATTGCAGGAATTCCCTTTTAAAAAATCTGAAGAATCGTCTCGTCAAATATTTCCAATTTTCTCCTACCAAAAATTGCCAATTTTCCATCAAAAAATTGACAAAAAAAATCTGTAATTTTTTATATCTAGGAATTTTAAAAAATCTAAAAAAATGAAGGAATTCTGTCCAAAAATAGAAACAATCCTCTCATCAAAACGTTTTAATTCTCCTCTATCAAAAATTGAACACTTTCCTTCATCAAAAATTTAATATTTTTACTCATCAAAAATGCGAGCAAAAAATTCTATGCAAAATTTTTCATATCCACAACTACGGAAATTCCCTCCAAAGATTGACAAAATATTCGAAAAAAAAAACGAGAAGTCCTTTGGGCCTTTTAAATTTTCCATCAAAAACGGAATAATCTCTTTCATCAAAAATCCTAAAAACGCCAAAAAATTGAAAGAACCTCAAAAAAGTACTGAAACGTCACGCAAAAACCGAATAAAATGTGCAAAAATCTTCACCCTTTTCTCCTATTAGAAATTCTAAAAAAAGTTCTATCCCAAATTCCCCCTCCCAAAAACTAAAAAGAACCCTCGCAAAAAAATGAAACTTCCCCCAAGAAGCCGAACAAAACGTATTAAAAATCGCACCGCAAAGCGCGACGCAAATACGCCTGCTCTCGCTCATAAAACGAAAGGTTAAAGAATGATGTCTGACCCCACACCAGCCGTATCCCCTTCAGCTGACGTCACTCGTTTCAGTCTGACGTCACCCAGCTTCCCTATCGATTTTCCCCCCGGCCGGCGCCCCCC